TTCCGTGAATTTTTGGGTGTTGTCATCTCTTGGTAATATCCATGTTGGTGCCATCATTGACAAACGTAAAGTTTATTTTCGTTGGTTTGTTAAACGGGCGAGAGTCCCGGAAGAGACTTTGAACTATGTGTTGTATAAGAAAGTATAAGAATGGTACTTACGAGGCAGGACATCTAAATGTATGTGAGTTAGAGTCTTGTTTTTTCTTCTGTAATTGAGAATTTAACCTTCAACCTATCACAGTTTCTGATACACACGTCGAGAAAACCCGTGCAATATATAGTTTTCTAAAAAACATTTTCAGCTACAATCTGGTATATTTACACTTAGTTTTTCGGTTTATCATGTAAAAAATAGACTCTAACTCAAATTGCAGAGTTACATTTGGATATGTTAGACATAAATACCCAGAGCTTAAAAACGGGTGAAAGTGCGTCATTCAAATTTAAAAAGTTGCCCCGTACAAGGGCTTACGAGACCAGTCAAACGGCCATTTTATATGGGGTAACCCGTTCCCACTTCGTACAAAAGGTAGATTCATATGATGAACATACAGAAGTACCATGCGCCGTTCCATTCTAAAGGAGTACGGACCAGACCGTGCTTGTAGCCCTTCTTCTATAGATAGGTAGGGGCAATACTAAAACTCGTCTATAGACACCTCGTACCTATATTCGTTCCTCGCTAGAGACGTACGAGTACATAGAAAAATGAATCTGTACCTGTCGATCAACTTGGCCTATTCTTGAGTGTTCATGTCGCGTTTCCTGGATTTTAGTGGATGTTAGTATGCCTAGCTTGACTAGTTCTGACGATGAGCTATGTCAGATTTTAGTTTGGTGGATTTTTAAGTGTTAGTGGGTGTTCTCATCTCTTAGAAATATCCATGTTGGTGCCATCATTAACAAACGTAAAGATTCTTTTCGTTGGTTTGTTAACCGCGCAAAGAATAAGCAACAAATAAAAATTCGTTTGGCCAATCGTGATGCCAAGTGCGTAATATCATTGGATACATGCAAAGGCCAATTTAAAAGATTGCTATACGTATTTGGAAAAGGAGCATTATTCCATTATTAAATGTCATCCAGATATGATTAAAACTAAATATGAAGAACCATTACGAGCAGTAAAATCATTAATAAATGAATGTGATGGCTAAGTGATACTTAAACCGATCAATCAAGAAGCCGATGGACTTTACAGTGTGAAAGCATATTTTAAAAAGTGAAAAATTTTGAATGATAGTATTATAGGAAAGAAAACTAGATTTATGTAAAATTGTGCGAAAAGCCCTGAACATTCTAAAAATTCTGTAAAAGCTCTTTTCATTAGTTAGTTTAAGCTATTTCGACATGCTCTGCAAGATAGATACATCAAATTCTCTGCATTTTCTATTGTAAGATAGGTCTCCATAGGCTAGTTTTCCCAAGATCCACTCCAGAAGTCTATATGAGCACCAATGAATATCAAAGTCGTGATCAGCATAAAAAATTATTTCTCATCATGTATGCTTCAAGGAAAAGCGAGGGAACACTTGGCGACCTTTCTCTCCGTGAAAAAGACAAAGAAATAGCGGTAGGTAACAAAGAAAAAACAAAGCAAAGGACAGAAGAAAAAGAACAGAAGGAAAATATGAAAGGTATGAGTAGAAAATGATAGGAAGAATGGGAGTGATAAGTAGTACAGATGGAATTAGAAACGTTGAGTGTTTTTTATGTATTCAAGTAGAAAACTATACAATTCTGAAATTTTTGCATCATCTGTATTCAAATTTGTCTAGAAAAAGAAGATTCTTCAGTGTGAAAGGTAACTCAGGTGAAATATTACATCAATCATTCTTTACCTTTGAACGAAGATGACTATAGTGTGAACATTCCAAGAGGAAATGCTTAACTGTTTCAGATTCACCACATGCACAGAACTGTGTATTAACTAATTTTTTGCTAAATATATTATAGTTTAACCTAGAATAAATTCACTCGCATTTAATCGAAAATACACTTCATACTTTTACTGAACATTTATAAATCTAGACCATCTGTATTATGGATAAAATTAGTCATGCAGCTTCACGCGAAAACAAGTCAGCTTGGCAATTTGACGTAATTCAATAGTTAGCTCATTCCGTTGCCTTAACATCCACGGGAAAAAGGTATTGTAATGGAAAAGATGGTGTAAGTCTTTTCTTTATTTTAAACAATAAAAGAACTTTTGTTCATAATACATAAGGGCTCCATAGCGGTCGGTCCATCCCAGAATGTTTAGAATCTTACTGTAGAATCTTACATGTTTTGGATTATCAACAACAGAGCTGAACAAGTCACAGGTTTTCCTGGTCACAAGCCAAGTCAATTCAAGGTGAGAAAATTTTTTCTTTCAAGTCAAAACAAGTCTAGTTAAAAATTAGGCAGAACAAAAAATTTGCCAGCGCCTTTTAGATTCGAGACAGTTTGTATAGTTTCAGAAACAGACAGTTTGTCTGTTTCACGGTAAAAACTGACTAATTTAGACGAAAATCTCTTACTAGAAATGACTTAACAATTTTTTCAAGTCCAGTTATGGTCACAAAAAAAAATCTCTCAAGACTTGACTTGCCCAGCTCTGATCAACACATTTTAAAGTAGAAGCATCCAGAAGTAGTTTATGTAGTCTTTTTTCTTTCGCAAATACTATAGCAGCACATTTCTTCGGATTTAAAGACAATTGTCAGAAACCGGGCCATGTACGAATTCTGTCCAAGTCAGTATTAATAACATTGGCTGTTAAGGCGATGTTATTACCGCTATGATACTGCCACACTTTGTCAAAGCCTTTGGGGCGTCCAGAAACACAGCAATCTCCGTCCTTAGGAAGAGAATATATGACTCCCAGTTTCCATCTCTGGGACAAAACATCAGTAGACAAAGAAAAATTACAAATATGAGCAAAGTTATTAACTATAACTGGCCCAACTTCACGCAAAATTTCAGATATTATTCCCTCACTGGTCGCCTTCTACACATTTATTCCACTTCAACATTGTTCAACTTCCTGCAAAGATACTGTAAATAAGTGAAGAATGGAAAGATAGAGTATTAGGAGGAATAAATCTGTTAGCTAATGCTCATCTACGATTCGTTCGCTCTCTTACCTTGAACTACGCTACAGCCACAAGTACATCAATCTGTTCCAGCGTTTTTCTTTCACACTAGAAGAATAGTTTAGGTATTAAGCACGCACGTACAGGTTACTTTGAATCAGATGCGAATATCTCAAAGCTTTACTGGATCCAGCAATGCAAAAGTTTTCTGAAGCTCTCCAGAAGATCTTCAGGCGTCTTACTGATTCTTTTCTGAAGATAAACCACTACTTTCACTTTTCGAATCTCCCACGGAGGAACTCCAAAGATTTTCTGCCTTCTCAAAATTATGTCCATGAAAACAGGCGTTTTTCTAAAAAATTTCTTCGATTTATAATATTTTCCCGCGACAGATGTCGAAGCAAATGGGGAATATTTTTCATTCATAGAGGTCTTGAAAATTATTCTTGCACACTGAACAACATGAAAAATAATTATATTATATTCCGTGCAAATTCTGTATGTTATACTTATTTTTATGTCTATGTTTAATCTTTTATCGATCATTAATCCAGTTATGAGTGCTCAAGGTCGCGTCTGCTACCTGCATGATTCATTCACGATATATGCTTTCTATTGATTTGTCCATGAAGTGCTGTTTGTAGCGACCTCTATAAAAGAATTTGTTAGGATTTCGAAGTGAAACATAGTACTTTCTAGCAGAAGCTGGGCAGTTTTTAGAGAAATATTATAGGTCACTGACTTTTTCTTCGACTGTTTTACGATTAGCCTCCTTCGCTACCAATCTATAAAAGGGGGATTGCAGACAGAGTAACGACAACGGTACTTGTTGACCGTTTAAATGACAACTATCGGGTCATTTGTAAACGGCTAATGTCAAAAAAACATGTAAAATAGCAGATAAGTTGAACCAAAAAGAGAATATTGAGCACAGTTGATGTTCAAGATAAAGAGAATCTGTTTTTCATTTGGTTAGTGGAATATTTTAGAAAACTAGTTTCCAGTGCAAACTGTAAAGAACAAAAGCTTTTTACTGAGACTTCCATTTCTGGAAGTTTTCGATAATGACTCAATCAGCTTTTAGTCAGTAATACATTGCTCGAGAAATGTAGTTAATTATCGAACATGATTCAGTGGTTTTCAAGCAGGAAAATAGAAGTTTTTCAGAAAAGTAATTGCAAGGGTTTATCATTCTAGATTTATGAAATGATTTTCCTGTAGTTTCTCAAGATTCTTGTCCAAAATTTTTTCTGATGTTTGACGTAATCGAATTTATTTAAACAAGGATAAAAATGTCGAGACAACCGCTTTTTATGTCTACATCTCAATTCAGTAATTATCCCACGAATTTTCAGCAGGTAATAACATCGTACAAAGATAAAGGGACATTTTGTATAGTATTGTATAGCACCGAAGCACTTCATTTTAGCAACGAGAAGGGCGTTTTGCTGGTAATAATGTTGATTCATCATTAAGTTTAAATCGCCGACCGTCTTTACTTGGTAATTACCATCATAATCATTATGGAAGTCCCGAAAGGTTTGTAAATGCTATTTATCTTTCCATTAATGTCACGATCAAATTGAGTTTAGATTAAATCCTTTCTATTTGCCTGTTGCTCAATGCACCATGGGACCACACGTTGACGAGCATTCAAAACGAGCACGTTATCCAGCTGGAGCAAATTTATCAGTGAACTCACAACTGTTGCCGTTACGCATTGACGTTAAAAAGGTTTACTTGAAATACGTTTTTTCTGACTATATCCTAACACTTCTATTTATTTCTAGGAATCTGTTTATGAACCATTAACTGAGGCTATATCACCAACACCAGAAGATCCAAAACAACAAGATTCTTCTGTTAAAGACACAACATCAATAAGAGCATCGATAGTAAAATTAGAAAGTGAAATAGAATCAACAAGTCAACGTTTAAAGCATGCAAAACAAAATCAAGTTCGTCTTAATTTTTCGACAATCTCTTGTTTATTCATTGTTGTCTTTTTCCTTCGCAGAGAGAAATAAAAAATCAGGCCGAACAATCTGCTGCTTGTGAAGCAGAAAATGAAATTGATGATCATACAAAATTAAATGGATCACAAACATTAATAGAAAAAATTTTACATGAGAATAGGGTAAAATCCGAATTATAAACATATTATTAAATAAATATATTATTTTTTATGTACTTCTAGAAAAAAGCTGAAGATGGTTACAAAGTATTCAGTCAATTAAATAATAATATTGATCTAACAATACCGTTATATCATGAACCGTCGGATATTGATTCAATTCAAAAAGTTCGAAAACAGTGAGTAACTAAACTATAGTCTGCTAATTTCTGAGAATAAATCTATTCATCGCTCGTCGAACGTATCTTCCAAAGACATTACTTATTCATCTCTATCATTTTTTTTGTTATTACAGGTATCATGGAGTTATGAAACGTAAATTGATTTCATTATTTAAAAAAAGTCATGAAGATTACTTACGTCGTACAAAATTTGAAAGTGAAAAATATGATGGATCCTATCAGCAATGGCAGAAGAAGATTGAAAAACAAGAAAAACAAATGATTCAAACCGATATAACACAATATCGCGATTGTTTTGAAAAAACATTTCCAGAATTTCGTAAAATTCGAGAAGACAAAGAAAAATTACAACGTACTTATAATCGTGCAACATCATCGGCTAATTTGTCAAATGTCAATACAAATACTGGACAAGTATTGAATTCAAACACAACCCATACAAACAATAACACAAATAATGGCAGTAACAATAGCAGCAATATGAACTATGTTCGAAGTGAGGCGGAATTAGAACAAGTTGCTGATGGTTTACAAGAAATTGAAGAAGAAGAACGTAAAATGAGACGATTATCAGTTATTCCACCGATTCTTTACGATCGTTGGCAAAGAAAACATGAATATTATAATCTAAATGGTTTAATACAAGGTGATGCGGCCGAATTTTGGAAACGACATACAAAAATGGCTTATTGGACATGTGAGTAGTTGTTATTATCAGTTTTGTTTTCATTCGCAGACCATCTATTTGTCTATTTTAGATGAGGAAAAACAAATATTCGTTGAAAAATTTACACAATCACCAAAAAATTTTAGTTTTATAGCTTCGTTTTTAGAAAGTAAAACAACCGAAGACTGTATTATGTTTTATTACATGACAAAGAAAGCAGAAAATTACAAAAATCTTCTAAGAAAACAAACACAAACAAGACGCAAAGCGAAGCAAGTTATAAATGCAATCAGCACATCATCGTCATTGCAACAAATGAATATGCAAAATATGACAGGTGGACAAGTTAATGCTCAACAAAAAGTAAGATTACGTGCTCTTTTGCCAATTATCAAAAACAAAAGCATTGTACTTATTCACTTCTCTGAGATTCTTGTTTTCCGTCATTTCGAACAAGATTTTTAAATTTTTTCTCATTTTTCATCAAGATTTTCGGCTAAATTGTAATGGCATTGTATACGCCTGGACTGACATGCCTTTAGCCTCCCTATATTTGTAAGAATTTTGCGATTAAAATGGACAAAGTATTTTCAAAGGTTCTTATACGAAATCACAAGAACAAGAATCTTCCAAGCTAGTTGTTAAGCATGTGGATCAGTGTAGTATTAATACAACGTTTTAACGTTACTTATAATTTGCATGTCTAACTGGCTAAGCTTCTTTTTTTTAAAATGTTGTTTATTGCATTCTATTCCTTTGTTTTGTTTAGGACAATGATCGCACCTATGATCCGACTGACAGGTAAGTGTTTGGACAGAATTCAAGAAAGATTAATTAAGTAAATCATTGTACTTTGACTTATAGTGACAAAAATTTCGATGAATCTCGTGGAAAAGATCAAACACAATTAGGTGGAAATTCCGGTATGTTCATTTTTTCTTACATACTATTTTTCATCAGAATAGTCTTACTTTTAGATCTAGGGGAAGACAGTGATAAACGTTCAAATAAAAAGTAAATTTTTTCTGTTTTCTTCAATCTTTGGACAGAATTTGATTTTTTTATACTACTTTTTTAGTCAATGTCAAATTCTTTCATGTACAACAATAATACCAGAAAAAACTGGCAAAAAGAAAAATCGGAAAAATAAATTAAAACCTTTTCCTTCAAAATGGAATGACTTATCAACTGAACAACGAGAAACGATTCGTCGTTCATTGGGTACGTGGTCAGAGTCCTTTTTCAATCGATTTACAGTTCATGTTCTTATAGTCTTTTTCGTTAATTGGTTTTTTCTTTGTTTTTCAAGAAATACCTGTCAAATGCGCGAGTTGTTGTGCACGATGTTATGATAAACTTATTGTACAAGTGAAACAAGCCTATACAGTTCAACAAAATGAGCCAGATGAGGATGGTGAACCAACAGAAGATGGAAATGCCAATAACGTGAACATTAATAAGGAAAGTTTGAATAACGATGAAACATACAAATGTTCAAAACTTACAATTGTACTACAAAATCCAAAATCTAGTGGTAAGATTGAAGATATTAAATGCTTAATTTTTCAGTTCATTTTATATTAGCTGTCGAGTAATATGGCTGATCTTTAGCCATTTGATCGTAAAAAATTTTAATATTAATCGAGTAATTTTTGGGAGCTTTTTTCCAGCTCTAAGCTAGAAATGTGAAAACCTTCTTTCCAATTGGTATAGAAATGCTTAGTTTTTTTCTTGTTTTCTTTTGATTTAGTAGACGGTGAAGATTGGTCAGAAGCCGACCTGGACGCATTTGTACAAGCTCGTTTACAATTTGGTGATGATTGGTTAAAAATAGCTGAACATATCCACAGAAGTGAGGAAAGTTGTCGTACATGCTATATAAAGCAACGATGTCAATTAGACAAATTAATGTTGATACAAAAAGAGAAAGAAGAAAATGAAAATCAAGTATATATGAGGTTTTCTGTCCTCTTTATGTATAATATAACAATATCCCCTTGTTTTAGACAATCGATGACAGAACCGAAATGAAAGATCAACAACAGGCTGAAGATGATGAAAATTATTCTGAATGTGATCCAAATGCTGTTAGTATGAGTACGCTTGTAGTTTGTGAAGATGATAATGATATAAAAACAATCAACGATGACAGTAATGAATCAGCAAAAATGGTAATTGATGAACAAGATCAACAACAAATGGAGGATAACGACAAAATACAAAATGGAAATTTAACAACAATAACGTCACTTGTCGCAAAAGAAATATCAAAAACTCTAAATGAAACAGAAAAACGTCCCACTACTACACTACCGAATGAACAGAGTATTATAATTACGGATGTGATTGCACGTCCGTCTTCCCAACAAGTTGCTTCTTCAACTCAACCACCGCCACTAGTGACATTAAAAGCAACGACAACAGTAACAACAGCAGCAGGAAGCACTATCTCAGTTTCGCCTCCTGCAACATCAACAACAACATTATATAAAGGATCAATAATGAGAGGCACGCCACTTCCCACAACATTATCACCATCTTCATCGTCTTCAAAATCGACTGTTGTTGACACGTCTCATAAAGCTTCTCATCTTCATCCTCATTATAGTCCACGACAACAAGATGAACAACAACTTCGACATTTGATCATTGACTCGCCAAAGATGAATTCTTCAAAAGTTTTAGATCTTGCTAATGAGCAACATCAATTATTGTTACAACAGAGAGAACAACAATATCGTTCAGGACATCATTCCGACTACAAAAATATAAATCCTCAAGTGTTTTATCCTCATCATGCATTTCCACATCCATATCATTTGCAAAAACCACCGGCAAGTTTAACTACACCATCTACATCGTCGACAACAACACCGGGTTCATCAGGAAAATCGTCTGCTCTTCCTGTTTGCTCACAAGATATCGTATCGGCTGAAACATTTGAAACATTAAGAGCGGATTTTGTTACTTCAAAATATTTAACCTCAACCGTCAATGAAAGGTAATTTGTAATTTCTTTGAATTATTCTTTATTATCATTTTCCTTGCTTCCGTTATAGACATGGTCCATCTTCGTCTGGCAGAAGTAGTGAACAACAGCAACACTCGCCATCACCAATTGTTTTACCCAGTGGAACTCCAAATTCTTCATCACAAGCCTCTGGGTCTACGCCTTCTAATGCTCATCCGCATGCTAGCGTTGCACCTTTATTATATCCGCATGATTTAATCACTAGCGGTGTTCTACCATATTCATCTTATTATAGTTCTTTGCCAGTACCGGGAAATCCGTTATTTAATTTTTACGATCCAAGATTAATTCACGATTATACAACAGCAGCTGCAGCCAATAGTGATCAATTTAAAGGTATTCTTTTCCATTTCAACTTATAAAATACATTCAAGTCTGTTGTTTTCTTTCTTAGCTGATCAGCATAAAATAAATTCAGCAGCAGCTACTCGTATTCGACATCACCTAGCTCCTTCAAATGTTGCTAATTCATCAGAAAATTATCATACGCCCACTAAACGAACACAAGTGGAAAATATGGGTACGCTATTCTTCTTAAATCAAGTATCTATTTACCATTTAGTCTGTTAATAGAACATATCCGATATAACGACTATACTTGGCGACAACAAATGAAAAATAGTCCAGGTAATGATTCTAGACAACATCATCTTTATGCGAATGTTGAAAATCCAATATCAAAATTAGCCGAATTATCTCATTGGTCGAATAGATCAGAACGAAATAGCAGGTAACATCATATTGTTTTAACTGCTTTAATGTAGACTATAGGCAGTCATTTACACAGAATTGTTCGACGAACAACGTTTTTCTTAATGTTAGCATTGTTTGTATCGTTTATTCTATGAGTATCAACTTTTATTATGAAATCTATTGATAGTTGATACTGAATGTTATTAGAATTGAAATGGAATAATACATTTCAAAACCGTTGCTCATTTAAGAAGTTAAAAGTTTGGTCAAATAATCTAAGTTTTTATACGTTATTTGTTCGCAAGTTGAAAACTACGGGGATTTTTTTTACAAGTATTTCTTGTGTAATTTTGACTCTTTTAAAAGATTTAGATTAACTTTCTTCGATTAAGCAAAAACATTACATTGGGATATATAGTGTTATTTACTTTTTATTTTACCTATCTAAGTTCTGATGATTTTGATCTCTTTCAATAATCTACGATAATCTTTAATGGAACACACCTATAAGATAATTGAGAACATCCGAGTTATATTTGAGAGTCCAACATGTTAGCTTTTCTTTTTTTTGCTTCTCTCAATTCTTTTTTTCCTACTTGTCGTATTAATTATATTTCTTCACTCTTTCTATTTCCTGTCTACCATTCACCCATGAATATATATACATCTAGTGAATAGTACTTTCTTTTTTTTGTTTTCTGTACATCCACTTACGTGAACTAGACAGATGTTCGAATAGACAAAGAAGCAAGCATAGATTAAAAAAGATGTAAATAAACAGATGAAACAAACTAAACTTCTTTTTCTTGATATTTCTTTTCTTTAATCTATTTAATGAATGCAATGTAACTTATTACTAAGCAAAAGTTTTTTTTTCTTGTTCTTCTCGTGCAGAGAAACTGCTACATATGATGTGAAAAAGCTAAATTTTTAATATCATCTTGTCGTATCTATCTAAATTCCTTTTATTTTTGTTCGTTCTGTAGTATAGAAATAAATAATGAGTTCGTTTTCTTATTTACGCAATCGCCCGTTAGAATTACTGGGAGTCGTATCACGAAAAAACTTAAGTCTAAGTTTAAGACTGATTTAAGTCCGGGGACTTAAACCATATCACGGAAAAGGCTTAAGTTGGCGATTTTTTTACTTTTTAAAAGTCGCTGACAACAGTGACAAACTTCGGATAAAAACCCGCAAAATAACGAAATATTTATTCTCTAATCCTTAGAATGTCGTTTTCGTCGAATCGTATCGTTAAATGCCTGATCTATTCAAAAAATGCGTCAATGATTCAAGTGCGACTTAAGTTTTCGGTCTATACTTTAAGACTACATTTCCCATGGCTTAAGTTTTTTTGTGATACGGTAAAACTTAAGTCCGAATTTTGACTTAAATCAGACTTAAATTTTTCTGTAATACGACCCCCGGGCATATAAATAATTTAATTTTTTGAACTATTGAATAAATTTAGTATTTGTCAAGACCTACGTTTATTTGTGTACTTTTTTTTATAAAATAGATCACCGGACGATTATTCTCATTCGTCACAACAACCGCAGTATCGTCCAGGAAATTCACGATCAACCGTAGAAAGTCCATCAGCACATTTTCATCGCGTTGAACAACAACATCAACATGAAAATGTTATTGTAAGTAAATATAACCAACGCGCACAACAGAACTATTGAAATAAAAAGTATTTTCTCTTTCTTTCTCGTAGAAAGCGGGCACAATACATGACTCATCGGCTCTAGACATTTACAAGAAAACAAATTCTATACAAATGAGTGAACATTGTGATTCATCTTCACCATATGTTCGTTCAAATCTTCATAAACCACATTCTCATTCTTACTCTCATCATCATACTCATTCGCAAGCACAACAAGCATCGCCACAACAAACTTCTTATAGTTCAGCTACACCGCAATCTTCCTCCTCATCCATGTATAATTTACAATATCCGGGACATCATTCATCACCTTCAAATATTTATCTTCAATCCCAGCGCTCTCAACAACATTCATCACATCATACACCACCGCATGTCTACGATAGTAAATCTATCCCTTTGACATCGAACGATAGTAATAGTTCAATGACAATTCAGCAGTTTATCGAAAAACGTGTTAAAAATTTTGTCAGTATGTTGTATTAACTTTTTTTCAATTTTAATCTAATTCAGTCTAGATTCATACCATTTCCAAAGCTTGAACTTTCGGTTGGTAGTTAGATCTTATAGACCACACTATACTATCGCCAAATTTATCTATGTTTAAGTAAACATTAATCAGAATCTTCATCATTAGTTAACAACATAAAACAAACTTTGAACAAACTAAATTCTCTTTAACTACTGATGAAGATTCTTATTAGTCGAAACGTTTAGTTAAACATAAATATAATAGAAAATATTCTGTTATTTTGATATGAAACACTTTTATTCAGACCAAGATCCAAAATCGTCACATGGGACTACTTCACCAGTGCAAGAAAGCTTCTCTTCGACACCTGGTGGTCACTCAAATAGCCATTTAGCACGTATACTACGCAATTCAAAACCGCACGATGTAAGATTTTAATTTTTGTTCATTTAATGTTTTTGGTAATTCTGTATTTTTTCTTGATAGCCGTACTTAATTACACTTGATGATGATTCAAATGATCCATCATCAGAAGTAAGTTTTTCACCTCTTCTTGTAAATCTGTTGACTACTCTTTCACATTGCTTCGTTATTCGTAAAACAGGTTACAGATCAACCGGATTATCAGCAACAAACCCAGCGTTCAACAACCTTTTATCATTCTCCTCAATCACAACAAAACCCTCATAAACAGCCAAGCGTTCAGCAATGTAAGATTTTGGTTGATAAAAACGTCTGTGAAACCATCTGCTTTTGGTTTTTTTAGCAAGCAGAAATGAACCAACAAAAAACACTCAACCACCATCTACCACAACGTCGGTTTCATCCTCTGCTACTGCAATGTCAATAACTTCTGCTAATGATAGTGAGTCAAGTGAACGTCGAAGAGATAGTTCAATCGCGAAAATTTTATCCGGTGATCCTGATGAAAAATATTCCGGTAGTATAATTATAATTGTTTATATTTATTATTACCTTCATTTATTCGTTTTCTATTTGTAATAGACATACACAAAATGTTGAATAGCAATTCGGACGCGTCAAAAGTTCATGCAAATGCTACAGAAAATACAAATTTAGAGCGTACAAATAGTGGTACACGTGAAGGTACTCTTTATATTTTGTAACGGAAAGAGTTTTCACTAACAATTGCTTTTGTTGAAGGTCGTTCACGCGGTTCAATCACAATGAGAATGCTAATGGGTCAGGCTACTTACGGTCCCGATGGAAAAGCCCATCCTATAGGAACAGGTATCTTCATTCTTTTTACTTTGTAGTGTTTTTTTTTCAATATTTTGTTTACATTTTAAGAACAAGGATCTAAACGATCGTCATCACCATCATCCGGTTCTAAACCAATGTGTGCAGAGTTCGATTATTTGATACGTGATGGGTTAGCAGCTGATTGTCCACCTCTTCAACGTGACGGTTTGTTCTGTTATTTATTAAAAACAAGGCATAGAAATATGAAAATTCTCTCATTGCCATTTTCAGAAACAACAAATGTCTTTCGTAATCCAATTCCAAATCGTGCCGCAGCCGTATCATCTCCAGTCGACTCACAACATCGTCTGATGTCCAATCAACAGCCACCTTCGAAAAAAATGCGGTGAGTTTGCATATGTGTCCTATCGATAGCACTTTCATGAAAATGAACAACAGTTGCATGTGCTGAATAAAAAAGGTCTTAAGCCAAACAATTAAGAAAATTGTTTTCATTATTGCACAACATTCGTACTTCTTGTGTTACTGTGATGCCTTATTTCGTTTTCTAGCATTTCGCCAAAATTATCTGAAACAAGTCGTGATGATCAAGGTCAACATCTCTCTGATCGACAGCATCAACAACAACAATTATCTGCAAATCATCATCATTCATCAGCATATCCTTTAGTGACCAATATTGAGTCATCGTCCACTGTTCGTGATCCATTCTTATTACAAACGCCTCATAGCACATTGAGAACACAAGCAAATTACATGCAGCCATCGGTTACATACGAAAGAAACTTGCAATCTGTTTCACAGCACCAGTCACAACAACAGACGCCTAATCAGCATCAACAACATCCATCAACAAGCCAACAATCTGGATCGAATACATTTCCATCACTCCATAGTCAGTTTGGTTCATCATCAACTGCAACACAACGTTCAACATCCGGTCGCGGAGGATCGATAACACAAGGCAGTCCTGTTTTAATAAAACAGACTTCATCATCGCCGTCATCTGGTAATAGAACAAATCTCTCTTCTTCAAGCGCCAATCCATATACTGCCGTTCAACATCGATCATCACATTTCTCGTTGAATATGTCGTCAAATGGTTCGAATAATTTATTAAATCCACGTTACAGCACAAATTATCCTTCGAAAAATTCGCAAAATACGAGTGCACAGTCGAGTCAATCATGCGGTTTTCGTTTTACATCGGAGGCATTGGCAGATCCCATGAAGTCTCCACCATCTGAGCATCCACTAAATATCGCTGATAACAACAAACATTATAACCATCCAGATTTTATTTCTCAGCAGCAAAAGTCTCATCATGAGTCGAATACCGAGGCTTCAGCCTCACCTTTGCACGATGCAAGTCAAAAGTCTCCGAAAGCAAAATCATCAAGAAGAAGTATTCCAACACTGACATCGCATGTCCATTATTCTCAGCCACATTCTCATTCATCACAACAATCACATCATTTTCCGGTAAGACTAATTGAAGTTTCATGCATCGAGAGAAAGACTAGCGGGTATAACACTTCTCAGTAGCCGACGACCGCATGGTATTATAATTGTCCAATTCTATCAGTTAGAAACTGAAAAAATGAATCCTAATTTAATATACAGTAAAAATATTATGTATAGATAATCTACTAGAAATCAAAATTCTTTGGAATAAAACATGTTATCCGAATAGTACAAGCGTAAAAGCAGTATCTTAAACATATAGAGATATTCATCGTATTAGTTGTAAAGCGTTTGAGCTGTCTTTTTCGTTTAGTCTCAACAATCACCGTCATCTTTGAATCGTAGTGAACCACTATCAAAATCTCAAACAAACAAGACTTTATCTTCATCGTCTCCTTCTCAGGAACACGATCAAATCCTTATAACTAATCGTAAAAGTCCCGGATCCACATCACTGACAAGCACAACGGGCTCAATTCCGTCTCCAGTAACTTCGTCTTCTTCATTTGCATTAAAAAAACGATTAGTAGTTGAATATGAACAAGAACAACAACAATTACAACAACAGCAACCAACTAGCGAGGGTCATCCAAGTCCACCATCCACTAGTGATAAACAAGTCGAGAATGTAGCTGATGTTGATATCGATTCACAAGCGAGAGCAGACGAGACAACGTCATCGTAATTATATCTCGGTTTATTATTCAACATTTCTATTTTAAAAGGTATTATATGTCGTTATTTTGCTCTATTTGCTCAACATCCGGTCTCTTTCTTATCTCTTACTTTCTCTTTTATATCGTCTTGCTGTTGTTTTTCTCGTCCTATTATATTTCGTTCGTGGATGAAAACTCTCTCCATTTCCGTTTGTTTTTCATTTTTCTTCTTTCTACATTATACAACAGTGAACAAAACTTTTTTTCTTTGTAAAAATATCTTTGTGTATGTTGTCGTGTTATTGAAAGGTGTGTGTATTTGAGCTGTATTTAATTTTCGAATCTGAAAACCAAATGTAATTTTTGTAGTTGTCCTTCTCTTTTTATCTCACTCTCAATTAAACTTGTTTGGCCTATTAGCAAACTTTTGGTAAGAATGTTGGTAAGCGTAGATAACCTAAGCAAATCATCTCTTTTTCAATCAGGATGAAGAAAAGGAAAATAATCATTTTGTTTGATGCTCACAAAGAGAAGAAGAACGGTCTGATATTTAGAGGAAAGTTAAAAAGTATTTTTGTTACCTAGTAAACGATGGAATTATAACTGAACACCCTCGTCGTTTTCTATTTTCTATGACCATATTTTTCTGACTAAATTATAAAATCTAAATCTATACGAGTAGAACGTTTTATTGCACAGAATGTTTGCGTCAAACAAAGTACTATAGTTAATTCAGCACTAATGTTTTGTTACTTCTTTATTGCCAATATATCCATATAATCACGACTATATATTTGTGAATATTCATGGATGCGAGTTATATTTTTATGAGTATTACTATTAAAATTTGAGCATCGCTTCGTTTTACTTTTTCTCGAAATGTGCATATTATTTCTGTATACCATTCCATTTTGAGACGATTAATACTCCAACTTTGTCAATACTAATGAAATTGAGCTTTATTTTTTAATGTTTAAACATAAAAATTTCTAATTTCTTGTTGTTCTTTTTTCTTTCTATGTAAACAACCGAATATCACAAACGAAATTATTATAGAAAAGTTATTGCGTTATAGCTTAAATTTAAAAATTTGGTTGCAGATCGCGAAATGTAGTAAATCAATTCATTTCTTTTTGAAATGGTCTTTTTTGTGACAAGACTGGTAAATGACTGTCACTGTAAATATACTACGTATATATCAGTGATTATACGTTGAGCCGGCCGGATGGACATTGTCTCACCGGAAGTTGAGTTTGCCCCATCGAAAATTATTAACATAGAGAAAAGCTTCAGACAGCAACCCTCCCGAAATATTCGATCGCTCATCCTGAAAATGGAACTTAGATAAAACACTGGTATATATATCAAAATCGATATGAAATAAAGTTTTATCTACGTATTCATCAAACATAGAAAATGCATGACGTATGAGCGATAATGATTTTCTTTTCTTTTATGTTCGTCTTTTTTTTTTTAATGCTCGTTTTTGTTGTTGGTTTTTTTTTTATTGTTCGTCAAAAATCTTTAGATGTTACATATTTCTCTCTTTCTCCATGTATCACATAAATAAAATTTTAGAACATTGTGACTTGATTCATTACTCTTTGTTTATGGTGAACTTCACATATGCTCTTCAACATAAACATGGCATTTTTATATATGAAAAAATATCTTTGGAAACTTTTAAGTTCATTAGTTAGCTGGATGTCAACAAAAACGAAGACTAACTCAGTGTTCTTGTACAACAACTTGAAATTATATGTATACTGTATTTCTAAATATTATTTTAGATTTTTTACTTGACATTTTCATCATGCCAGTACGTATTTTTAGTTTCATTCTAATTATTTAATTTTTTATTTTAATTTGTTTTTTTTTTAATAGGAAAAACATCGTGTTGCTGGTAATGCAAACAACGTTAAGGTAGTTGTACGATGTCGACCAATGAGTTCAAAAGAAGTAGACCAAAATCATAATGAAATAGTTATTGTAAGTTTATTTTCTTCAATAGTTTGACAAAAAGTTAAAATACTGGATATATTTTAATATCTTTTTAGGTAAATGAAAGTTTAGGTACAATTGATGTACGTGCATCTCAGAATGTATCAGATGATTTATCAAAAACGTTTACATTTGATCATGTATTTGGTCCAAAATCAAAACAATTGGATATCTATAATCTTGTTGCAAGACCAATTGTTGATGCTGTACTTGAAGGATACAATGGTAGAATGATTATAAGGGACAAGTATTATACCGAGAAATATATGCTAAACAATTACTTTTTTTCTTAGGAACAATATTTGCCTATGGTCAAACTGGCACGGGTAATCTATGCTCTTGTGTAATTAAGCACATTATATCTAATGTTTTTACTTCTAAAGGTAAAACATTCACGATGGAAGGACTAAAAGATGATAATAAAAATTATGGAATTATTCCTAATTCATTTGCACACGTATTCTTGGAAATTTCAAAAGCAACGAACGATGTTGTGTAAGTTTCAATTCTTATTTAAATTTTTAGTTTTATTAATTCTTTAAATGGTCATTTTTTACGTTAGTTATTTGGTACGCATATCATATTTGGAAATCTACAATGAAGAAGTCCGTGATTTGTTAGGAAAAGATCGTGAAGTACGACTTGAAGTAAGTAAATCATTTGTTTTTTCAATCTCAAATGGCAAAAAGTTTTCTCAAAATCTAAACGAGTATTTGTTAAATGTGAACTATTTTCATCAGATCATAGTAAATGATAATTATTCGTCTATTTATTGTTTAGATTAAAGAACGTCCAGATACGGGTATCTATGTTAAAGACTTATCATTTCATGCTTGTCATTCAGCAAGTGAAATGGAAGCATTAATGAGCGATGGTAGTAGTAATCGTAAGTTCATCTATTATAATACTGTTGTTTTTTATGTAGATTATTTTTTTAATCACTCTAATATTATAGGTCATACGGGTATGACACGTATGAACGAACGAAGTAGTCGTTCACATGCATTATTTACAATAACAATTGAATGTAGTGATACGGGACCTGATGGTGGAAAACGTATTCGAGTTGGAAAATTACATATGGTTGATTTGGCGGTACATCATAAATAATATGACGATATTTTCATATTTTATTACTAATATTCTTTTATTAGGGTAGCGAAAGACAATCAAAATCTGGAGCTGAAGGACAATTATTGAAAGAAGCAACAAAAATCAATCTATCATTATCGACACTAGGTAAAATTCGATTAAAAATTTGACAAATAGATGATTAATTCTTTTTTTTTGCAGGAAATGTTATATCGGCACTTGTTGATGGAAAAAGTACACATATACCTTATCGTAATTCAAAATTAACACGTCTATTGCAAGATTCACTAGGAGGAAATAGTAAAACAGCAATGGTAGGTGAAATGTGTGTTATATCACACAATTTGATCAATAACAATATTCTATTTTCTTAGATTGCCAACATTGGTCCGGCAGATTATAATTTTGATGAAACAGTTAGTACATTAAGATATGCTAATCGTGCAAAAAATATTAAAAATCATGCACGTATTAATGAAGATCCTAAAGATGCATTGTTACGTAATTATCAAGAACAAATAGAAAAATTACGAAAACAAGTTGAAGAAGGTTTGTCTTTTAAATTTTATTGTTAAAAATAAGCAGAAATGACATAAATATATGAAAATTTTGTCTTTCTAGGTGGTGTTGATGGTTCCGAAGAACAGGATGAAGAAGAGAGTGATGGAGAATTAGATGAAAATGGTCGAAAAGTACCGAGAAAACGAAATTTACATATATCACAAGATCGAATGAAAGAGATTGAAAAAGAAATTCAAATTGAACGTAGTAAATTAGATGGAAATCTGCATATGGCTAGAGCTGACCGTGACAAAATTGCACGAGCATTAGCTGAAAAACAAGAAGAATTGCAATCATTGTAAGTAATATTCAATGTATAAGAGCAGCTGGTCAGATAAAAAAGAAAACTATTTTAGAAAAGAACAAGAGGATTTAAAACAAAAATTGCAATATCTTGAACGTAAAATAATTGTGGGTGGTGAGAATTTATTAGAAAAATCGGAAAAACAAGCACAATTATTGGAGCAAAGTGAAAAAGAGTTGGAAGCAAAAGCAAAAAATGAACAGTTATTAAGAAAAAAATTAGAAGAAAAAGAGGTATGTGATATTAAGATAAATACAGGTCAATATTATATGGTTTACTGGTACTTAAGGCTGAAAAACTTGATATTGAAGTAAAATATCATAGTTTAAAAGAAGAAGTGGAAGATTTAACAAGAAAACTGAAAATATTTGGAAAAAAGTATCGTGAAGCAAAACAAGAAGTAAAATAAACAACTCATAAAAAAACAAAAATTCAACATTTTTTTTTTTAATCATCCATTAGCTCATTGATCTGGAAAAAGAAAATCAAGAACAACGAAAAGAATTAGTTGAAGCAAACGCACAAGCATTCAAAGAACTTCAAAAACAAGAATTTCTTATAAACAATTATATTCCAGATGAATATTTTGTACGTATATAACATCTCTGATTGCTAAACAATTATATCTTGTATTTTTTATTTTTCAAGAAATTACTTCAAGAGAATGCAACATGGAATGAAGAATGTGGCGATTGGAGTCTAAAATGTATTGCATATACGGGAAATAACATCATTAATAAAGAAAAAACAAATCGAAATCAAGTAATAAAAATTGCTCGTTTACTCTTGTCAACTATTTTATACTTTATACCATTTTTTTTCTTTTCTTTTTTATAGAACGATGATTTGAATTTGACCCACGTTTATTTGGCTTATACAGCAAAAGGAGCCGAACTGGTAAATCTTTTTATTTTTATATTTCCATATTTTTAATTATTTATTTTCTATTGATATCATATTTTGTTTGTTTAGGCGATGCGTGATGCTATTGCACAAACAAAACGTGCAAAAGCAAAAGAACGAAAAGAAACGAAGAAGTAAAATTTAACCTTTTTTTTTGAAAAGTATCAAAATTATACTTTTTATTTTATTTTAGAAAATCAACAAAAGATGTTAATGAACAACGTCCTATGACCAGTAGTTTACGTACAGCAAAAGCATAAATAATAACTATATGTTTTTTTTTATTACTAATATGAATTGAATAATCCGTCCATTTTTCATATTTTAATCTCTTTTTTTTTTATTATTATTTTTTGAACATATTTTTACATAAATTAGTTATGTATTTTCTGTCGAAATTTAAACTTGTATAACGAGTAATGACAATATTTATGTATTTTTGCTGTTATATTTCATCATAAAAGAAAAAAAAATAACAGTTCTAGTACATCACAGTACCACCGTATCAATGAATTTGAGTAAAAGAGACAGAGATATCATTCATCGTTTATCAACAGAAAGGAAGATAAATTTTCGATATTTTTAATGAAACAATAAATTTTAGAATAGTCAAATTTATTTTTGTCTATTCTAGATTTATTGTACATTGTTATTGCCATTGTACAAACAATGGCATCATTAAAAAGGAGAAAAAGTTTAGATGACAGTAGAAGAAACAAGTAAGTAAATATGTAGAAAAAAAAAACCAAAATATTATTTAGTTTTACTAGAAAAACAGACTTGATTTTAGTTCGGAAAAGAAGATAAAATGGGATAATGATGATAGGACAACAATGATCAATCATCGATCTATAAACGTTACATCATCAAAAGTAATTTATTTATTTATTTTTTATTTTTTCTATTGTATGTTTGAAAATATTATTTCTATTTTTAGCCAATTCAAACATATAGTAAATTAGAAATGATGCCAAATGAATTATTTTATGAAACATTTCAATATCTTTCACCTTGTGATATTGTTTATTCATTTTATGGTATTGGTAATAGATTTAATTTATTAATTAAAAATACTCCAATGCATATTGATTTCTCATCTGAAACAATAACAATAAAAAATTTTCAATATAATTGTAAATCTATATTACCATTGATTCATAATCATGTTATCTCATTAAAATTATCAAATCAAAATAAAGTGAATGCAATTAAATTATTTACTAATCTATTTGATATTGAAAAATTTGAAAATTTACAAATGCTTATTTTAGTTGAACCAAAAGATACTGATATTCAATTAATTGTATCAAAACTTTCTAAATTATTAAAATTATCAACATTAAGAATATCATCATCCGATTTTAATGATTATACATTTGATTTATCTATATATAGAACAGTATTTGAAATTTCAACATTAAAACAATGTCAATTACCCATATTTCAAACAATAAATACTTTTGATATTGGTCAAATACAATCATATTCAATACAAAATTTAGTATTAGATCATTGTGATATTAATATATTTGATAAATTACTTTTTGTAATACCAAATATAAAATCTTTAACATTTAATCGTAATATACCATCGATAAATGAATCAACAACAATAATAATAAAAAGTTTAGAATTAACATTACCAACATGTACACATTTACGATTATATGTTGGTTATGAACAATTAGAATATGTTGATCATTTATTAAAAAATGTTTGTATAAATTTAGAAAAATTAACATTATGGGTAGATAATTTTTGTTGTGAACAGTATTATCCAATTGAAGCATTTTATGGAGAAAAATTTGAATATTTATTATCAAGAATATCAGAAACATGTAAAATTGAACTATTTATTACTGCTCATGGTTTTGAGAATAATGATATTGTTGAAATTGATTTAAATGAATTATATCGAACATATCAAACAGATTTTTGGCATCAAAGATATTTGTATATTACAATTGATTATTATTCATCAAAAATTAATGAAAATGATAATGATCAAAATCATCAACGAGAAGATGAACCAAAAGATCGACTATTTATTTATACAACACCGGTTGTGGCAGATCAAATATGGGATAATACAAGCTACAATTGTAAAACAATACAAACATTGAATCCAAAAGTAAATGAATTAGATAAACAATGAATAGAATAAAATATAATGTTAATCTTTTTTTTTTTTCTTCTTCTTCAGGATAGTTACGATACTGTTAAAAGTTTATCAATATTTGTCAATGAGAATAGTAATGAACAAACTTTACAAGAGAAACGTCAATATAAAAATGTTGAATATTTAGAATTTACTGTAGAACGACCAATGACTCTTGATTTTTTATTTCAACTTAATGAATCAATTCAGTTTATAAAATTAAAAGAAGTTGTCTTTTATAATGGATGTTGTGTTAAATATTTTCTCTATGAATTATTTAAACGTTCATCAAATATTTGCTCATTGACACTCTATGAAAATAAGGGATTATTATTAAAAATAATGAATTCCAATGAATTATGTTCAAAAATAAATCAGACAATTCGAACATTATCTCTTGATGATGGAAATATGATGACCATTGATTTAAGTCAAAAATTTGTTCGACAATTTTCAAATATTGAAATATTTGAATGTTCATTTAAGACAATTGATGAACTTAAATTTGTTTTATTATTATTATTAGAACAAATGAAAAAATTGATTTATTTACATGTACATTATTTTCCAGGAGAGAATGATCAATCAACGTTAAAGTCAGATGATATAGCAATATGGTTGAAAGATAATGCGACAATGTTTGAAAATAGACAGTTTGAAATTGATACTAATTACATATCGGTTTGGAGCTAAGATGAGAAGTTTTTTTTTTTTTCTTTTTTTTTTTGTAGACTCATGTAAAACATTTAGCATGTTCATAAAATAAACTTGTGTTACTGTTCATATATGCTCTCTATTCCGTCATATTTCCATTTTGAATGCATCATACTATGTCAGAAGTGTTTTTCTTCAAGTACTGACGGTACAGTATGAGAAATGTAGGAAGTTTGAAGCACATTTTTAATAGCATTTGTTCTTCTCTTTTTCAAAAGTTTTCTTCTTTCAAAAGTTTGTTTTTGTGTTCTTTTTGAATAAATCTTTAGAAGTCTGGTCCCTTGAAACCCAGAATGAATTTGAAAATCAACAAGTTTCGATCTGATCAGCTTTTAAAGCTGATCGAGTTGCCTCTGGGAAAAAATTTTAGAATTACTGAACAGTTAAAAAGTTTCTTGTTAAAAAATTGAAAAAAATCAGATATTATTCGTTGTACTTGGGATTAATATTTTTCTAAAATTAGTTCGGTAGTTCTAATACTTTTTTACAGAGACAACTCGATGAGCGCTACAAACTGGGCAGATCGGAATCTCTTGATTCTTAGATTCATGATGGATCTCAAGAGGCCAGACTTCTAAAGATCCACGCAATTGTACGAGATATGGATATAAAATATCATGATACGATTTAATTAATTAGAGCGAAAAATAATTATTATTAATACGATGAAAAAATGCACCTGATATGCCTTCAGAACGCACCATTGACGCATTTCACTGTCACTTTTTTTTTGACAGTGAAACGCAGAAGATTTTGAAAATCTCGCGTGTAATGACAAAATTTTAAAAATCATGACAAGTTGTTAAACAAAATAAACTATTTTCCCCCTTGGTTCACGCGCGAGCAAATAGTTATAATCATGCAAGACTTGTGCACATCACTTGACACGTGAACCAGCAGAAAAGTTTTTTTATGCAGTTCTTTTCTTATATCTCTAACTTCATTCGTATGGATGTCAAATAACTGCACTTTAACTTTTTCTTAATCAACGTTTTGAACTTCCAGATTTGTGACTAGAAAATACGTTTGTTTGTTCAAGGATAAAACTAGAATTTTTAGACTTCAGAGTCATCTGCAAAGAGAGCTACGAAAAATTGTCGAACGGTTTCTTGTTGGGCGTCAAATTTTTTCGTTCAATGCCTGCATCACATCCAACCCTATTGTTTTTCGCGGTTTAACTTTCAAAAATACATGATAAGCAGAAACAGCTGCAAAAATAAAAATAGAAGGTTTCAATATTCGAATCCAACGACAAGTTCATCCATATCCAAATCGGACTCAAAAAGCAAAATTTTGAGACAATTTTTTAGACTCGAAAATTTTTATTGGTAACTGAAAAATCGATACATTCCCAGGTCGGGGCGTACGCCCGTTGTACGTGCATGTCACACTCTGTACACACCGTGCGCATGACGTACGCTTATCAAAATGCATATCATGCGCACCATGTACCATTTTTAGAGGTTTATTATAGATGTCAGATAAACATCGTACTATGGAACTGTAGAGAGAGAAAATCAGGTCACGCTCGGTATGCGCACCGTGTATACACGTTCGTCATGGGTACCAATCAAAACGTACGTCACCTGTACGTCGCGTACAAAGCGTGACGTACGCGTACAACGGGCGTAGCGCTCTACCTGGGTTACCATGATTTCTTAGAAAAATCTGATCTTTTATTGATCGTTCCATTAATCGAGAACAGATTTCTGTATGCTTGCTGACCAAAACACAAGGGGGAAAAAGCAGCACCTAGTGCCGATTAGGGTGCTGAAAGGTGCCGTTAGGTGCTGAAAGGTGCTGAAAGGTGCCGTAAGGTACTGCCTTGCAAACCATAAGTTAGTGGGATCGAATCACA